GGGGCACAAACTAGGTAGTTCGAACTAGGCTTCCTAGTTCGAACTACCGTTACTCCTCGTGGAATGAGGAGTCCCAGTAATTCAAATCCCGGGCTTCATTTGCAAGTGCGGTATGCCTACATTACCCTCCTAGTTCGAACTAGGAGGGTAGTGTAGACATACCCTCATACTCCTCTCTGCACACAGCAGAGCTGAAGCTTTCTCCTTTGGTTTCCACTGGAAAAGTCAGAGGAGATGGAAGAGCAACTGAAGTATTTAAACATGACTCCTCCCACTGACAAGTAGGTGTTGTGTGCAAATGTCTGTGAGAGCTTGTTGTGGATTTTCCAGCCCATCCTGTACAGTCTCAATGTTATATTTACAGGAGGCCCCTGATGACATTTTCCAAGAACAAGGTACCAATAAAATTATTCAGTGAAATAAAAAACAACTTCCCATCCTCTCCCTAAAGAAAACCACAAACGCCTTCTACCCCCTTGGAGCAAGTCTGAGTGTGTATGCCATTGAAAAGCTGTTGACAGCATGGGATGGAAAAGGCTCTAGCTGGCTGGCTGTGGTATGATGCTGGAAGAGGAAGACAACAAATTCATATGTCCTTTCTTACCCAGCCTTTTGTTTTCCTCTTCAGAGTTTCACTTCTACCCTATGATGGTTTCCAGGGCAGCCTGACAGTCAGAGAATGAGGGAGGTGGTGTTTGTGGATGCTGGGCCAGTTGCGGACGGCACTGTGCTGGTAAATACAGCATCACTGAATGTGCCCAATGCCACATTCCAGCAAAAAGCTGTCAACTGATTCTACAGCGTGAAAGGCTCAGCAGCGTTCAAACCTGGGCCAGGCAAGCTGCCAGCAAAAACACCTGCATGTTGCCACCTAGCACCAGCCAGCTTGTGCTCCAATACCAATGATCTGCTGCAGATGCAGAACACGGGAAGTCTCACCTCACCTCAGCTCATGGATTCTGATTGGCTACTTGCCCCCATTTAAATTCAAATCCAAGGGGATTTTGCCTGGATGTTTCTGGAACAGTGTGAATCTTTTGTGGCTGCTACAACTGTTGCATAAAAAAGCCTCTGCCTGAGCTCACTAGATTTATATACATGGATTTTCTAAAGCTACACTAAACTGTAAGGTTTTAAACTGCAACTTATTATGATCCTTGTCAATCTTTGCAATCTGTGTAACTCTCAAATTTACTGTAAACTGCAACTTTGTAATCTTTGTAACATGCAGCCACCTTGCTTGTAACTTTCTCTAAGCTGCCTTCTCCCCTGAGTGAATGGAGAGAGAGTGTGAGTGTGTTTGAAGAAGGTTTGGAACAATGGAGCACATTTCAATGAGTCATCACAGTCTGGGCATGCTCCTTGCTGGATAAAGGGAAGTCTGGGCATGCTCCCTGATGACTAGGTGAATGAGTCACAAGGGCCATTCAGACACAATACAAGGAGAAGGAGCACGTGAGACTCTCTTTTTTTCCTTCCACTGATCCTGAGAAGCTCCCCTCCAGTGTCTTTCCTCCTGCCCAGCTTCTCCAGCCATGATGAGCATACAGACCCTCCAGAATCCACATGCCTTGGCTCTTTCTGCAACCCATATGTCTGTGTAAGTGTTTGATTGCCCGAGGGCAGGAATAAATGGGTGTGAATGAGTGAATGAATGGAGGGGTGTGTGCTTGCTTGCGCGCATGTGTGTGTGTGTGTGTGTGAGTTCTATCTTCTTTAGCTTAAACCTTTGGTGGCTGCTTTCTCCTCTTTAGTTTTATTTAGTGGAAATAAACCCATACTAGTGTAACCCTGGGTAGTCTCCAGTGAGAATATTTTTAAGGTAACCACAACCATTCTTGCTCTTGAACTCCTGGCTTTCAGCATGCGTGGCTTGATGTGGACCTCAGCTCTGGATCAAGACACTGAAACTCAACTCAGACGGCAATCCTTAGTATTGATCCTGGCCTGGAACATGACTATGAACTCCTCCTCTACTCTCAGCCTCAGGTTTGCTCTGCTCTGACTGCCCTTGTCAAAATCCTGACACTGGGTTCACTTGGCAAGTAGCTCTAGGAGGGAGCAATGGATCTGTGGGGATTCTGTTCCTTCAGAAAAGCACAGCAGAGACTCTATGAAGAATTCCATTGGTGGCTCCTGGAATTTATACCAAGCTAATGACCTGTTTGGGACATTAGATAGCACAACAGCATCCAGCAGCAAAACAGATATATTTTATCTGGGCATTGCTGGAACTTTTGGCAGCAGCTGGGAATCTACACTAGTCAGGGTTTTAAAAAATCTATTTTGAATGAATTATTCAATATGGGCCACCCCCCATACGCCACCCCCCCATACGCCACCAGTGTCTTCAGATGTGCTTCTGAGCTGTTAGAAAGGGCAGAATCTGACCCAACCATATAGGTTAAAAAATAAGAACACCCATCAGCATCTCTGTAAGCAAAACCTTTTAGCCAAGAAGGGCCTAAAGAAGTGCCGCAAATCTAGGTTTGGGTCAGAGATCACAGTTTAACACATGGAAAATTTCATTTGGGATCCAAATTTTGACACATCTTTCCCCTCACCCAGAGTCTGGGAATGTTTGGATTTGTAGTTTGCTTGAGGCCAATCTCTCTCTTCAGACATTCATTGCTCTAGGATGAGATTTTCAAAGGAGACTAAGAAAATTCAGTAATTAAATCCCTTTGAAATTCAGAGGGAGCTGGGTGCATAACTTTGAAAATTCTAATATTTGATTTTATAGAAATCTGCCACAGCATGCCTACCCCCTCTCCTCCTCTGTCTGCTCCTCTCCTAGGTCCCACTTGGGTTGCTGGTAGAACACTGAGGCTGCATGCATCCCATGCTGTATGTCTGACATGTACAGCTGGCTTGCTCTCACCTGGGAATCTACAGTGTGTTTTGAGAGTGATTCCCAGGGTGTTTTGGCTGGGAATTTTAATTAATTGCTCAGGGGTGGTGTGAGGAGCAGTAATTGTGGGTCAGAAAGAATCATTAATAAGCTTCTGAACACAGTCTCCTGGCAGTCCAAAGAGGATTCCTTACTTCAGCGGCAAAGATTGTGGATTTTGTTTTTTTTCACACCCAAAAGGTCTCTCTTGGCTTTGTCTTAGTACAACTACTAGTTACATTGTAAGAGATTTCCTTGTGCTCCCTATCCTTTGCAGAGCTCTTTAGCAATAACAAAAAACAGGACCATGTAGCACTTTAGACTAACAAGATGGTTTATTAGGTGATGAGCTTTCGTGGGCCAGACCCACTCCCTCAGATCAAATATCTTTAGCAATATTACTGCTCTGCCAGCAGGGGCCCCTACATACTTCAGGGGATAATGATAAGCCAATACCTCAGAAACCTGAAATAAATCTATTTGCTTAAAAAAACCCACCCTGGGTCTGTTTCCTTTCCTCCAACATACTAGCCAATGAGTTACTGGCAGCAATGTTCATAGGAACAGGTTTGCATAAATAGTTGAGGAGATTCACTGAAAGCAGATTACACACGCAGCTTTGGGAGGAGAGGTTTGCTCAAGAACCCTGACCTTCAGAAGAGATACTAACCCAGTCAGGCATCAGAATCACCAGGTCCCTCATGTCCAGTGTGAAGTAACCAAACTCACTCCATTTCTGAATAACAAATACAGAAACAAAGAATAGGACCGAAGATCACTCCCAGAAACAGATCTAAATAACAAATCCATTCAGGAAAATTATCATTGACTCAAGCCAAATTCATCAGACAAATGATTTGCTTTTGCTTGCTATTCACCCAGCTCTAGATATGGAGCCTTTTACCTGTAGCCAGCACTGACTAGTCCCAACCAAGGCATTGCTGCCAGCCTTGTCCAAAAGCCCGTATGAAATGAATTGTTACCACGCATATTCTCAGCTATGGATACTGCCCACATGCAGTCTCCACAGAGAGACCAAAGACTGATTAGGCCATGAAGAACAATCTTTACTTTCACCCCATGCCTGGCTCTTGCTGGATGCACTGTCTGCATGTTGGCAGGGTGTTGCACTGAAGGTTGGGTGGCATAAATCCAAGCATGGTACCCATGTGACCCTTGCTATGCTCCAGGTGTTCCTTTCAGTATATGATGGAGCACCACTGATTAAAGATTCCCATTGACTTTAATTTATAACTTGCTACTGCTTAGTAAAGGCCTAATTCAAAACCAATTTCTGTCTTTGTCCATCAGTTCTTGAGGTATTTCTACAGTGTCATTGGCATAAATCAGGAGTGGGAAAGAATTGTTGATGAGGGACCACTCCAAGAATTTGGTAAATTGTCAAGGGGCACACTCTTCCATGATATTAATGGAAGAGGTACTGAATTTGGGATGGAGGTTGGGGGCAGAAGAGAGCTGATTCTGGATCCGGGAGGTGATATAAATATAGGCATAGGAGAGGTTTCTAACCTGGAGGAGAGTTGTAGAAGGGGGTGCTGGTTCTGGTAGGAGTTATGACCTGGGGCAAGGGTGCAGGAGGGAATGCAGAGGTTTGGGTTGTGACCTGGGGCAGGGGATTGGGATACAGGGTCTGGGGGAGTATAGGTACAGGAATGGAGATGCAGAGGATTTGGGTTGTGACCTGGGGCGGAGGTGCAGTGGGGGGGAAGAAGGGGCTAGTGTTTGAGGAAGAAGGGGCTAGGATGCCAGATGCAGGCTGTAGCCAGGAGGCACTTACTTTCAGCAGCTCCCAGCCAGCAACCCAGCAGGATCTTCAAGCAGGATCCCTGCTTTCCATTCCCTTGCATGCCATTGGGTACGTCTAGACTACAGGCTTTTGTCGACAGAGGCTTTTTCAACAGATACTGTCAACAAAGCTTCTGTTGACAAAGAGCATCTAGATTACATGCTGCTTTGTCAACATGAGCGTATAGACACAAAAGACAGTGTAGATGCAATAATGTCTTCTGTCAACAGAACTCTGTCGACAAAAGGCGTTATTCCTCGTAGAATGAGGTTTACCACTGTCGACAAAACTGCCGAGTTCTGTTGACATTATGTTGACAGAATTTGGCGGTAGTGTAGACGCAGGTATAGTTTTGTCAACAAAAGTCCACTTTTGTCGACAAAACCCTGTAGTCTAGACACACCCATTCAGAGTAGCTGGTTGTGGGCCATATGCTCTCTGTTTGCAAGCTCCTGGGGAAGGTAGTGGGGGCTGTGCACTTCCTGTGCCACAAACACAGCCCAGGCAGCTCCCATTGGCTAGTTTCCAGCCAATAGGAGCTGTGAGATTGTGCTGGGGGCAAGGACAGTGCATAAAGCTCTCTCCCCCCCCTCCCATCCCAGTGTGTGGCATTCATAGAGAACATGGTCCCCACAGACAGCCACTTTTGATCAGTGTGCAGGGACGTGGAAGTCAGGGAGCCTGCCCAAAGCTCTGGCTGGGCCATGGGAGGGTGGCAGGCCAGATCTGGGATTTTGACAGGCCAGATCCTGCCCCTGGGCTGTATTTTTCCTGCTCCTGTGGTAAGCGCTGGCTAATGAGGCCCCAGACCACGTGGATAGACTAAGTACCTGCCCAGCTGGAACCCTTGCAAGCCACTGAGCTTCCCTCTTGCCCTCAAACAGCCAACTATCCAAAAGCCTTGGTGAGAGTATCCGGTGAGAGGCCAACAGGAAGCTCTGAATACTAGGATGCAGTCAGGGAAGGGACATCAGCGGGATCCCTGGAGGCACTGCTGGAATTAAACCTGAAATTACAACCTTCATCCGTCAAAATACTATTTTTTTGTTGACATTTTAATGAAAACTGTCCTAAACAGGAGAGGGCCTATCTCCCTGTTGCACTTCCAGACTCCTGCTCTCTCAGATATCATTTATTGGGTTGTTACACAAGCTGCATTTTCTTTTTTTTTCTTTTCTTTCTTTCTTTTCTGCTTTTGCAAATTGAATTATTTAAATGCATTGTTTGGCAGCCTTAAATCCAGGCGTTTCGCTCTCTTCCACCCTCGGCAGCCATTACTTTGTCTCCCTTTTGCTCTTTTATTTTCAGGATCATTTACTGCACTGTTCCGTTGGCATTTATTGAAATTTGCACAAAAAAAGATCTTTCTTCAATGACACTATTTCAACCCGCGCAAAAGATTTATGGATGCATGAAGACGTCCGTGCCATGGATTTTTCTTTGTCTTCAAGAAAGGAAGGAGAGAAAGGAAAGGAAATGTGACTGAAGAGAAATGCATGTTCTGAGAAAATAATGGGAAGTAGTTATCTATTAAAAAGCAAAGGGATCAGTGAATGTGAGGACATGTTGGAAAAACAACTTCACTTCTCAACCCACAAATAAAGGGAGGATGGATCATTTGGTGATTATCTGTTGTGTACATGCTTTCTGAAGCCTCTGGCATTGACCACAGTGGGAAGACAGGTGGATCTTTGGTCTGACCCAGTACGGCCATTCTTATGTTCTTAATGCAGCACAAATATGTATATCATGTGCACACACATGTATATGCATGCATACTCATGAACACACTTGTTCAAGTACATTCACAAAGAGATCCACAGACACAAATTCCTCCCCAGTAAATGAAAGTGTGTACTAACTGATTTTACATTCTTACATATTGGCTTAGGTGTGACAATTTACTCAAAGACAAATCCAGTGGTTCATCTAAGTTGATGTCCTCTCACCAGGATAGTCCTGATAATGACCAGTGTGTATCGTTTGCTATCGGGGTGCTAACTCAGCCATCTTGAGTAACGTGGATTTTGGGAGAAAGTTTGCTCTCGTTGATAAATAATAGAGAAAACAGTGTTCTTGATTTGCACTACAACCTCTGATCATGCTTCAAAGCTTATTCCTTTTGGTTACTTATTTGCATAGAATTAACTTACTTTATTGCCTTATAATTGTACTTATTTAATCTGATTAAATTTCTTGTACAGTTACACAGTTTCTGGGTTCAATCCCAGAGGAGGCTAAATTCCAGACGTGAGGTATGTCATGGCTGAAGATGTACTCAGCAGATATAATATGCAAGGTATATAGGAAGCCTTTGCGGTAAAAAGCCCTACAAAAACGTAATGTGCATTGGTAATTTCTATCTTCATACATGCAGCATCCTCACTGGATGTGAAAGTAAGACACACTCCTAGTCAAAGGGACTGAATTATCTCCATAAATTCATTACATTAAAAATATATGATAATCAGCAGAAGTGAACATCCCAAGGGAGACAGAACATGTGCATCCCAAGTACTGCTAATAATAAGCCTTTAATTTACAAGTGCCCAAAGCTGACTAGAAGCCTCCGAGTGCCTTAGCAAAAAGGTTGGGTAAGTTTGTCTTAGAACCTGCCCTGAAGCTTTGGGCCACTAAGGCTCTAATTGAGACCCCCATGGTTTGAAGAAGTCTCTTCTTCCCAGTTCTTTGTACCCTCCACATTCTTGCTGGGGCATCATCTTTGACATTTTCATACTCCTCCCCCACCTGGAAGTTTCAAGGGTAGGGAAGAGCTCTACAAAACAGCAGTATTAACAAGGAGGGCCGCAGATCCATATTCAGATCTGGGCTGGGTGGGGGATCTCAATTGACTATTGACTTGCACCAGGTCTGAATTTGGATCATGGCTTCCTGGTTTCCTGCACTCCAGTTCATCTCTAGTTTTGAGGATGACACCTACTTGCTGCGTTTGTTTGTTCTTGATACCTTCCCATGCTCTCCTCAACAGTTCCTTTCGGGGTGTGGCCAGATTTATTCATGTCAGTCATTAAGTAAAGTGCCATTCTAAAAACAGATAAATATTTATGAAATGATTAGTGCCTGTTTAATATACGATTGAAGCAATTAGCAGGAACACTAATAACAGACTGTTACTTTATGATTATTAACAGATCGATTTGTGGGAGCTTGGAAATGTGGCGCACAAAGGGGGAGAGGTCTCAGCAGGGAACTGGGTGGCGGGCAGCAGTGTGGGGGCAGGTAGCATCAAAGGTGAATGCATTTGCTGTTCCCCTCTGGAAACTTGAGTCCTGGCTTGGATTTTGTGACATATGAACAAAATTTCCTGGCTAAATTTAATCTCTAGGAGATATTACTTCATATTACAAAGCCAGCATGTGTTTCGTGCAGCGTAATGTGATTGGCGGGCTCTGTTCAGCAGAGGGGCAAGACTGGAATAGCAGTTGCTGCAGCTCTGGAATGAGAGGCATCAGTCCAGCTGTGTGTCCTGGGATAGTCCCAGGGCTGGACTAGCAGGGAATGTGGCATGGCAGGTGTGAGGTGCATTGGCAGAGCAGTATGAGGCACTAGGACGGGGGCATTGTAGATGATAAGGGAAGTGCTTTAGCAAAGCTGTGTGAGGACTATGGACTGGAATAAGGAGAAGTGGACTGGAGCTTTGGCCTAGTTACTGCAGGGGGATACTTGCATGGTCCTTGCTTACATGAGCCCTGCATCTAGTCAGCAACATATTATTGCTCTTCTTTGCTGTCTTTATAGATCTCTCATATGCTCTTTTTCTATGTCCACAGTATTAAGTCCCTTTTTCCAGATACTCTGCTGTGAAATACGTCCCTGTCAGAGACCTCATCTCAGCCATGCTCTGCAGGTTTTAGCAGGAGCCAAAGTTACCCCTCCAAAGTCTCATGGAACAACCTAATTGTAATAAGCCTTCTGCCAAGGAAGGACTTGTTACTGTTTGGTGAGCCTGAGTGTCTGCAAACCTGAGTTTGGTGTACATTGTGTGCCAGAACCCAGTGTTGGGTCTTTACCTTGGAAAGCAGCAGTGTGGATTGGGAGGGGAGAGAGAGGAGCACCTGGGAGGCTTGTCGGAGGACTAGGCGAGGAAGCGGTGTCTGTGTGGCACTTAGTTTGATTGAGCCAAACTTGCAGAATCAAGCAAAACTAAAATGATTAGCAAAACATTGCCATTGTTTTGTCTTTATTGTTCTATTTCAGAGGCAGTCGGGAGGCACCTGTGCTGTGTGTTTGTTAAATGCTAATTAATTATTAAATTAGCCATTAAATATTAAAAGTGGATTTTGTGAGTGTTAATGACGGCCATGCTCAATAAGATCTGTGTCTATTACAAACCTGATAAGCCAGCGGGAACAGACTATTGATGATCGATGTGGCATTCATTTAATTTAGAAGTCTTGTCTCACTCAGGCTGCATTTTAACATACATTAGGTGTAGTTTATACCAGTGTACAAGCCAATGTGCTGACTGATGCAAACTACTGGCTTGACAGTGATGGTGGCTGCACTGTCTGCTTAGCCATAGAGCATGCATAGCACCAATAACCCCAGGACAAGTTTCCCATATTCTGCTCAAGCAAATGGGCCACAGTTCTGACTTGGAGGTCTCCATTGAAGTTCGTTCCCCTTGACCCACTCAGTCTAAGTCATTCTGCAGAACCCCAACAATTATTAATATCTGAGGAGTTTTAGGATGTGAACTGTTTCCTGTAGGAAATGAACTAAAAACAACTTTCTTCATGTTGGCCACCAAAAATCTGTCTGATAGTAACCACCTCCAGTCAATACCAGCTTAGATTGGATTGAAACCAGTGACCCAAAAGTGAACGTCTCCAGCTCCTGTTCCCAGTACCCTGAGCCAGCGAGTCCCCAGTTAGTTAATTTATTAAGTGTTACCAAATTTAGTTACAAATGCAAAGTAACAAGAAACATATTGAGCTTGGAATCAGCCAAAAGAGGATACTGGGCCAGAAAGGGAGTGAAGGGAATGGGCAGGAGCCATTGGCTTTTCACCATCTCTCAGAGGAGGGAGTCTGGATAGCGAAGGCTGTTCCAGCTCTCTGTCTCTCAGCCCCTCAAAGCAGTGGGAGCCTTGCTCTTGGCTCTCTTGTGGTGTTTCCATTCCTCGCCCTGAGCTCCTTCTTCCGTGCTCTCACATCCTAACTCTACTATAAAGTACAAATCTCTTTGTCTCCCTGCAAAATTCACACCACACACACACACCTACACAAAGAATACTAAGATTACAAAACCAAGCACTCAGAAATGAAGAAACTCCTACATTCAGGTTGTTTTTGCAATCATACTTTAGACCCATTGTGTATATGCCCTATAATTAGAGTTGGGCAAAATTTTTCATGAAAAACCTTTTTCTTGGAAAAACCCATAGATATGGATCAATTGAAACAAATCAAAAATTCAGGTTAATTTTGGCAAATCATTTTGGGTAAACAAATTAATACAGTTCAGAAACCATGAATGATGTGTTGTCGAATTTCCAAAATGAAATGTCTCCTATTTTTGTTTTGAATTTCACTCAATTGTATGTTAAAACTCATTTAAAATCTGTAAAGAAACTTCAAAATTAAATGAAACATATTGTTTTGGGTTGAACATTTTGATTGATATGAAACTTTTTTTTTAAGTTTTTACTTTAACAATTTTTGGTTTGCCAAACCTCTTCCACCTCCCTCCCCATCTTAAAAAAAAAAGCATTTCAATTAACTCTGAAATTATTTAAAATTGTTTTGGTTGTCCTGCCAGCCAAAAATATTGGTTATTCACATTCTGTAGTTACATGAACTCATACTATTTTTCACACAAGCCTGTTGCCTCATTCAATGCTCAGGATGGACTGTACCTGGGAATGAATTAAGACTTTGAAGTGAACTTGAATGAGGAAGAGGTTCTATGGAAAAAATAGCATGTGATCATGTAAAGCCTTTATCATAACATATATGCACAAGGGAACCAGATGAATCCTGGCATTACCTAACTTTCCAAGTTCTTGACTTTGTAAACTTAACATTGCTTTAATGTAGTTTTTGGGATGTAATAATTAAATATATATACATATATTATGTGGAGAGGAGGAAGAGTATATTTATTTTTCCTGTCTAATAACTTTAATGCTTTTAAACCAATGAGATAAAACTATTTCTAAGAATAATATAAACTCAGAACAATCAACAAACAAGTGCCTTATAAAACCAAACTTCTGGGGACTGATTCTCCTCTGATTTACATCAGTATCATTCCATTCACTTCAATGGAGTTACTCCTGATCTACCCACATGTGACTGAGAGCAAGATTAGACTTCTAGACTCTACCACTGATTCCTGCCATTGTCCCCATATGTACTTTCCATTTGGATGTTTTTCACTCCCCTGTGTGCTTGTCTTTACAGTCTGTTCTAAGTGAACACAAACCCAGGAATGCTCAGGTTGGGATGGTGCACAGATGAAGCGGGGGTGGGGGGAGGAGGATGGAGGTCTTGCCACCTGCTACATCTGAGAGGGCACTAAGATGCACAGAGAGTGGTAGAGTAGGAGAAAATGTAGATAGATAGGTGGCCAGTCAGGGAGACTAGACTAGCTATCCAATGATACTGGAATTATACACTTGAATAGCGTCAAGGAGGCATTATGCCTGGTACAGAGAGTAGCCTTTCACATGGCTTTGCCCAGAGGACTGGAAGTGTCCAGGGCCAGTTCTGAGCTGATGCAGTACAATACCTTTGTCAAATGACTTGTGTCCTAGACACTCTCTTCAGGCTTCAATGAGCTGCAGTAGCAGAGGTAGAGAGGGATGGAGGCAGGCTGGCAAAGAGAGAGTGTGTGCTTTCAGATGTGATTTGGTATGAAAGCTGATCCCAAGACAGGAGCTGAGGAGGAGAACCTCTTGCACCAACACCAGAATGATTGTGCAAAAGGGCAGTGTGGAGCCAGTGGCAGAGGAGCAGAGGGAACTGGAAGGGGAGCAGAAAGGGAAACAAGGTCCAGAGGTTGATTGGAGGGTTTGAAAGCTAAATGGACAAATTCATCCCTGGTGTAATTCTTTTTAAATCTGTGGTGTTACCCTAGGGACATATTTGGCCCATTGGCATGTTTGCACTATCTTGAAAAGAGGTTTTGCTTTCAAGATGCCATGTGAGGAGAATCAGTTTCTATGCAAAAATGAAAAAAAGTATTTTCTCATGTAAATTACCAGTGCTTCCCAAAAGAAATCCAGTCTCTTCTGAGTCCAGAGCATGGGAACCAGGCCAGACCTCCTCCTTCCATGTCAAAGC